CTCTTTTTCTTCTTGTCTGCACATACACACTAACCTTCTCTAAAGACGACTGTCGATGTGCTCACGACTAGCTCGAGGCAACGAATGACGCCTCTGGAGCTCGAAGTCACCTCAAAGCCTTTGTGAGTGAGGGTAGAGACCCTAACTGCCTTCTGGATTGCGCAGGCGTGACGTTGATCCTTCTGTAGACTTAGCTATCGATATGATTTCTACCAACTTGATGCGATGCATGATGTCTTTAGAGATCAGCGTTGCCTTATGTCCTCTTTGCTAAAAGTAGGTGTAATGTGCGTTTGTGTAAGGTTGGGCAAGCGAGCTCTGGAAAGGCAGTATAAGAAGCCACAGTTTCGCAGAGTTGTCAGTTGTCATTGAACAGAGCTATCAGGTGGATCTACCAAAAGGTCTGTCAACTCCTGGAGCAGAGAACCATTAGAGGATAAAGAACATTCTGAGCACTGTGGATCATGTAGTTGACCTTCAGGGCTCAGTCCTAGATATTGCTCTTCCTAATATTAAGTATACCTTGATTTTCTACGGAGTAATTTCCATGGCAACTGCTTAAATAATTTGTAATTGAAAAGTTTCACCAAAACGTCTTGATTAAACAGTGGATTCATAACACTAGAAAAATAATAGAAACTGAGAAATTGAATTAGTTGTAGTATAGTATGAAGCCTTAACTACCTGAAAGTAAGTATTTCATAGAACTTCAATAAGGAAACTATTATTAATTTGAAAAATGAAGTAGTAAGGACTCCAACCAACGACCTCAATAGTGAAGAACAACCACTTTTTTTCTTCCCTTTAACTTCTTTTTTAACATGAATCAACATAATCATTCATTTACACAAAACTTTATGTAAACTATTCTAATGTTCCAAAGCTAATTAAATAGGTACTGAAAAAAATACATAAAAAAATTTGTGTTGAAGAGTTAAGTTTTTTATAATTTTTGTTTTTTTCTTTTTTTTTCAGAAGTTGGTAAAGGGTCCAGCAAGAAAGGTTAATACTTCGAGGGATATCTAATTATCTAATATTTATTCGATTAAATCCTCAGGTCCAATTTACTAATGGTGTGTAAAATTCTTGGTTCTGAAGTATTACAATGCACAACTTTGCTTTTATTTTTAACATCATTCGATGCTGGAATTTTAACTGTTCAGCTTCTCGCAAAATTTTAAAATCAAGAATTTCTGTACCAGGTGAAAGTGAATCAGGTTTAGGAGTATTAATTATTAAATAAGATAATTTAACTGGTGCTATAATTAGTGGATCTAATAAAGGCAAGGATTAGCTTTGAAAGATCTGAAGGTGGAGATGGAGAAAGAGATGGTAAAAGTAACCTTACAAACTCTTGATCTGTAGGAGTAAGTGTTGGCAGTTCTAATAATGCTGGTGGAGGTCTGTATGGCTTCTCTAGAATACGTTGAATTGTCAGATAAATTTTTCTCTTCATTATTAAATATTTTTCTGAGACATAAAAGATGTTATCAAAATTATGACAATAGTTAAATCAATGATCTATACGATAGGAAAAGCCAACTTTCGATTAATTTTTTATAACTTTGCTTGTCCTCTTCCATTTTCCCTGAAAAACACATACCAAATAAAATTTTTTTTCTTCTGAGTTAAAAGATATAAAATTTAAATTGACGAAAGATATCCAAAATAACCTCTGACATTGTCTATATGGAAATTGTCTGGCTTTGGCCACTCATGCATTATGATTTGTATTTTGTAGTGACTGGATTGAATGATTTTTATTTAGAAAACTAATAGAAAAGTTTTTTTTTAGCTCTCCAGCCGGTAACTTTTTTTTCATCTTTAAAAGTTGTCACATACAGATTATGGTGCTCAGAAAGTGATATGACAATCATTTCTTTGAAAATTTCATTTAATAATGTATTTATTTGCCCCTGGTGATTTCCATATTGTTCTTCAGCATTTAATGACTAATAAAACTTTTTCAAGTAGCTCAGTATGTTGGACATACTTCCAATGCTTTGAAAGTGTTTACAAACATTGATTAAGGTTGATAACTTAATTAAGCTACAATATCTTTAAACTGAATATGCATAATGTAACAAAATATTTGTCAGAAATAAATATACAATCAGTACAGAGTACCATCCCTAACGATGTCAACTACAGAGAGTAACATTGTTTTTCACGAATGACATAAGAAGAAGCTGCAAATAACAGTTGTGTTCCAACAGCGGGCGTCGGCAAGAAAACCATCATCAGAAACGAAATTGTAGCAGAAGGGAAAATCCTCTTGACAGCATTAAGACAGCAGCATCTGCTATCAGTAGTGAGTAAAGTAAAGTACAGGAAAGCAAAGTATGTGTCTGAGACTAAGGCTGAAAGGTTCATTGAAGCTTTAAATCATAAAGACTGACAAAAAACAGTGTATTCCATAATTGACAGCAGAAGTGATAAAGACCACCAACGCCAAGTATTCAGAAAGCAGAGATACTTATAATGATGCAGACGAAGCAAAGTATGTGTCCGAGACTAAGGATGAAAGGTTCATTGAAGCTTAAAATCGTAAAGACTGACGAAAAATAGTGTATTCCATAATTGACAGCAGCAACTTTCGTAACGGTGACAGGATTACACAAACCTTTAAAAATACGTTTATCATTTTCTTACTCTATATACATAACAAAAATAAACGTATATATTAGGTTCATTATTTTGTTACTCTGGACTTACAATAAATACAAACACATTAAAGTTAATTCATGCCATGCATACATTTATGACGTTATGTAAACGTAACGGAAATATACGTATGCATTACGCTCATTATTTTATTACTCTACACTTAAAATGAATACAAACTCACGTACTCTAGCATGATGCGCGCACTTGATGACACCATAATTATCCTGATGGCGTCTTTAATTAAATCAGCAGCAATCGAGAGTGACGTTGATGACATTCGAGAGCAGTGCCGACAAGATTAACAGCAGTACAACAATACGTGCTCGTAGACATTGCACTACAGCCAACTGTAGCAGCACCTATGTGATATTTGCTGCTACTATGCAGTAATGTGCGCAATAAAGAGTGGAGATAGTAGGGTGAGAGATAATAGGGGCCGTCAAAACCCTATGGGACTTTTAACTCAGTAAGATTTTTTTAACTCAGTAAGACTTTTTTAACTCTCTGAGTTCAAAGTCCCATTATTTACCTACTCAAGTAACTTTCAAGTAATATCAAAAAATCGGATTCTTTGACAGTTTTTTCGAAAATCTTTAACTGCTCTATCGAATATTCAGACTTAAAATTTTTATAAAATATGTGCTTTATGTCCTTCAAGTACGTACCAAATTTAATCAAGGTCTATTGAAAACTTCTTGTAACAGTTTAAAAATACTAAAAAAAAGCCCTTTAAAAAATTATTTTTTGACTTAATTTTACAGTCGTGCAGGATTCTAATCCGTGTTAAACCTTATTATGTTATTTGTATTGTTATTATCTACCAAAAAATTAAATTCAAAACCCTAGTTCACAAATTTCCATACCCAGAGTTACTAACTCTATCCACCTAGTATGAGAATTTTAAGTGTCCTGTGGTCTATTCCTGATTTAGCCAGTGACGCCAAACAAAATAAGAACTGTTGGAAGTAACTTTATTGCTCTTAAATAACGCAATCCAGGAAAACGTCTTTCTAACTTTTGGTACCGCAAAAGTACTTTTTTTTCGTGGATTTTTACATGTATTATATCAATTTTCTATTGCACTCGAACTTTTTAGTAGAAGTCGAAGTAAGCTTTATCATTTTCCTTTTTATATCACTGCTTTTGAAGATTGACCTAATATAATATCTAAATGTGAGATAATTTGGAGAATTTTAAAACTAGATAGCATATATTCTTAAAAACCTCTAAAAAAAAAAATTAATATACTATTCAAAATAATGTAATTTATTTGGATGGACATTAATTAACTTATTTAATATAGGATTATTGACTGTATTTTCTCATGAGTGCAAAATATATTCTTCTTAAATCTCTTATTTCACGTATAATTCTTTTCTATTTATCTATTATTTTCCCTTTTTGTCAACTTTCTATGCTTTGTTACTTTTTATCACATTGATATTTTGTTCCTTTATTTTAATAATTGGTTTTATACTTTGTGTTTTTAAAATTTTTTAGTGAATCTATTTAAGTTGTACTAACATGTACACTTCTTGATCAGTGTTTTTTCAGTTTGCTTATCGTCATTAATATGTGTTATTTTTAAAGATATATTCAAATGTAAGGAATCTTTCATGCATAGCTAAGAGTTCTCTCTATATTCCAGACATATTTTATGTATTTATTTACTGTATAGAAATTTATTTAAAAAGAAAAAATATGACCTTCACTAATTTCTCCAACTTCCATTAATCTACGTTTATTATTATTTGTTAAAAATGAAAGTTAAAAATTTCTACTGACAATAAGTAGTGTTGATTTCAATAGCTTATTTTTTCCCTTTCTTTGTAAACAATCATTTAACAGTTTGATGATTATAAAAATAGATACATGGTGCAGTTAAAACAGTCCTACTTCAATAATATCTCTATAATTCCCTTAATGTCTCTCTATTCTGATGCTCTGTCTAATGTTCCTACATCTTTTTTTGAGCAAAGCAATTTCTGTCCTTTTGAGCTTTTAACCTTTTGGTATCTAAATGCCAATTGATTAAAAAACATATCAAATATGTTGTTAGAACACGTAGTAATACATGGAAATTTAGTAATGATGAAATTGTGTGACATTAAAGTTGACTATTTATACAGAAGCTTTCGAGAACTAAACGCATTTAGTACGTAAAACGAAAATTCTATAAATGCATACTAAGGGCAGAAACTTAAAATAAACAAAAGGTCTGCGGAAATAAAATATTTTTTTTAGTTTTTCTAAAGATTTAAAATGATTTTATTTTATAAAAAATTCTTTCAATCATTTTTCTCACGAAATTTTTTCTGTTACTCATATTTTAGGGTGAGAAAAAACAAACTAATTATCATAGAACAATATTGTCAGAACTAATAAAAGGTATATTACCAGCTGGATGGAGAAGATACACTGTCCCACGAGGTTGTACAGTAATTCAATGGATAACAGACTTTAGTCATAGAGTTTCACAATTACAAGAAGTTTCAAGATTAGTCTCACAAAATGGGGCCAAAGAGATAAAGGTAATTTTTAAAGTTGAATAAATAAACTAAAATTATATTTTTTCCATCACAGGCGCAAAGCCTTTGTGCCCACGAGTAGACGAAAGAGTTTGTTGGCCCAAGGCGAAGTAATATATTACATACTAAGAAAGAAAATATAAAGAAAGGCTCAGGTAATAGACATTGACTTCCAAAATAAAGCCACGGGTAACAAAAGGTGACTTAAGACTTTCTTTATTCCCCCCTAGGGTTGTATATAATGTTTCACCTACCTTTATTTCGGCACAGTATAGTATAAATTAATTTTTTGCTGTAAGGTGCAAAGTAATTATCATGCCCAAAACGTTCCTATAGGTAGAAAAAAAGATTTTAAGTGTATGATACAAAATATTCTGTTTTTCTTTTCATTTATCATAAATCATTTTTATTTCATAAAGTCATTATAAACAAACTAGGTTATGTAAACTTTTTTTAAGTTAGGTATTTAATTTTTGCTTACAGTTGAAAACACAATTGTATTCACAGCAAGTCAAAGCACTACTTTTAAATCATAGCATTTTCACGTATAACTCATATTATCTTTTCATAAGATCTGGGACCACAAATCCCTAGTTATAATGCTAAATTAAATTATAAAAATGTATATTTACTTATTAACTAAAAATCAATAGACAATTCTCACATGTCAAACTGTGAATAAAATTCAAGATATTTCGTTAGATAAAAAAAATAAAGTAATCATATGGTATTGCATTGTGATAAGATTCCAACGTATACCCCTTGCAGAGTTTTTACGTATCCTATATGTCCCTACTCTATCCAGTGTTTTTTTTTTTTTTTTTTTTTTTCATAATTTCCATCCTATTTCCCTAAGTATGCGAGTCTTTCGTGCGGGCCTCTTGCAAAGTTTCCCTTAGACAACTCTGTTATTCATCCTACTGGGGTACTATTTCCAGTGCGTGGAAATTGTCTCAAGCACACCTCAGCTATTGTCAAGTTTTGGAAATATATTTTTCCAATAAACCATCCGACTCGCTGTACTGACTATTTTATAACCGACAGTGACTTATTCAATGAGCTAGCCAGGTCTTGGCTTTTCCTTCCCGTCGAGATTCATATTTCACCAGAAAAATTGACCATTTATTTTAAAAATCGGGTGAATAGTTGTGTTTTGTAATGATTATATTTTTTTTTTTTTTCATTGTCAACAGTTTTTTTAATTTACGATTTATTATTTGAAACAACATTATCTTATCAGAGTCACTTGATGCTTAACCTGCTCTTTTACTTTGCATTCTTTCTTCCTTTTTTCTTCAACTTGTCTTATACAACGCTGGATCACCTTTGAGGTTATTCTAACATGATTTACTGAGAAACAGAAAAAGTTTGAAATTGTATGGAAAAAAGTTTTAACCAGAATTAGAAATTAAAGTAGTTATGATTGTTAAAAAAATTCTAAAAAATAGTAAAAAGCATAAAAAGTATCTTCTTACTTTTATTTTGCTTATATTTTACAGTAGCTATAGTTTATAGAAGAAAGATACTAATTTTGTTCATTAAACAAAAAAAGTTTTAAATTGCTCAGGGATATTGTTTACATTTTTTTGTTGTAGGCAAGTACATTATGCAATTGATTACTAATTTATAGAAAGTACTTCTAGAAGTAAAAAATATAGAATATTAAGTTTCAAATCTGCGGATTGTAATGGAATTCTTTTTATTTGGATTATAATCATAACTTCCTTNAAATAATTATAAATAAATATTTTTTAACACATAGAAAAGCTGCTGTGCTTAAATATACTAATGGCGAAGTTAAAAAAAATCATGTCTCTGAAAAAATTAGTTAATTAAATTAACAATTTGTTAGAAATCAAACCAAACTAATTAATTGCAAGTAAATGAATATGTACATTAAAAATAATTTACGAACCATATTGTAACAAGATGTAATCGAGTCTCTGATATCGAGACCGTTGTGAAGAGAGTGGGTAAGGGTCTCCACGTTTGCGAAAAAGATCGCTGTTCCAAGTCTCTAGAAAAGTGTTTTTCTTTTAGGGGTAAGGCATAGTTTGGATGGGATCAATGTGGGGCTAAGAGAGAGTAATATGCAAAATTCAGTTTCGTCACATATTGTCTTAAGGTCAGAATTCTGAAATCGTTGATTTTTCTCGCGCATAACGCGCCTATTGACGTATAACTTCAAAAATTGATTTCTTAGAAGTTTTTTTCTTTGCAGTAAAAAAAAAATGCGTACGTCTTTTATACATGACTGGTGGTTAGTTTTTGTTGAATCGGCTATTTAAATTGTCTGGTCCACCTCAGTTCTAAAAGGCGTGCCTCTTTCTGCCGCCTAGGAAGTGTATGGTATGGAGAAACTAGTAAAAACTGCCGCCAGGGTTTCTTAAAGGTGCGCGTCAAGTAAGCAAAAAGCTGGGTCTCGAAACTCGTGAACATGTGTTACCAACCCTCCGAACTACAAAAGTCACAGCTTTAACATCTGTGCTACCGTGGCCGCTAGATATATTTCATATTATGTAGTTGTAAGACCAGATCCAGTCACCACCCCCCCCCCCCTTGCTCTTCTCAAAATTTCTGTATCTCTCCGTTATATTAAGTCAATAAAAAACATCCTACAAAAATTTAAGATCCCCTCGCCCCCTTAGCACCACCGACATTTCTAGTAAACCTCTTTTAGCCCTGTATCCCCCCCTTTTTGATCCAATAATGTACATAGGTTTTATGGAATGGGATTATATAAGGTGATTACAATTATCGTAGTAAAAATCAATTTTATAGTTCATTGTTAACTCCATGATTTATGTTAATTAATACATAAATTACAAAATCCGTCTACAAAATAGTTAAAAAAAGGGCAATTTTCATCATTTACATCCAAAATTTCTTGTTCCTTGATTTTGAATTTAAATAATTAGTAATTAAAAAAATAAAGTTAACATTATTTTTACTATTACATGTCCACTAATTTTTACAATAAACAATAAACTAATTTTTTTTGAGAAGTTTATTATGACTCTAATAAAAATACAAGCAAATATTGAGACATTTATAATCGTATCAATAAGGCGCATATATGTAGATAATGGCACTTTTATATAAGCACTCTTAAAATCAACCATATTTGCCCTTAAAGTTAAAAATGGAGAAATGTGCCAAAAAAATGTATATCATATTTGAGTATATTAGGAGTACACATAAATTTTTTCAGATTTTTCACCACGGAAATTTTCGAGAAAAAAAAATTATGAAATATTAACAGTTTAACACGGTCTCTTATGAGAGAACAAGGTTAGGTTTGCCTTTTAATTGAAGTTAAGGTATATTCAAAATGTGTTGAAATAAAAAAAACGTTTTCATAGATACCTTGGTACAAAAGGAACATGCTCGACGAAAAAAATCAAGCCATGCCGGGCATTTTTCAAAAATATAATCAATTGCAGTCGTACAGTTTCAAGTTTGTAGAGTGCAAGAGGAGGTGCAAGGGCTGGGAGGACTCCCCGTTCCTCGCCTCTCTGAATGATACTCTCGAACCTCCTTAATTTTATTCTACGTGAAATTACAATTTGTTTTATAAGACACAGAAAAAAACTTTTTCAGTAGAGTCGTCCCGTTTTTAGATATATGCCATACAGTTTAATGAATGAAGTTTGCCACATGCACATCATTGGGGAACATCAAATCCAAATAAAAAATTATTAAATTAAGAAAATAAATTGACTATATCTGCTGTAATACCTGACAATCATTAGATTTAAAAAAAAAAATTCAGTACATGTAACATACTCCTTGTAACAAGTATAGTTCATGCTTTAAAAAATAAAATAAAAATTTTTGTCATTAAAATTTTTTCAAGACTTTTCCCATGAAAACAATGTTTAAAAAACCAGTGATCAGTGGATGCTTGGGTAACNAAAAAAGTTTTAAATTGCTCAGGGATATTGTTTACATTTTTTTGTTGTAGGCAAGTACATTATGCAATTGATTACTAATTTATAGAAAGTACTTCTAGAAGTAAAAAATATAGAATATTAAGTTTCAAATCTGCGGATTGTAATGGAATTCTTTTTATTTGGATTATAATCATAACTTCCTTTGTTGTGGAATATTCAACTTCACTAACAATTTTTGAAACCCCTCAAAGCATCCAATTCATGACTAACGTAGCTTATGCAGCATTTGATCTTTATCTCTACCTTCTGTATGTTTTACACTTATCTTTTCAGTTATACTTCCTCTTTTTTTTCTTAAAAATGTGTGTAAGTATTATTTTTTTATAACTGTAGGTAAAAAATTTCTTATTTCGGAATGCAATCATTATATAAATATTTTTTTAAATGAACTAATTTCTTAGAATACGTCACTTATTGTAAGATTAGTGTAAATACTTTTTTATGGTCCAAATTTTTTCTTTAGTAATTAACAGAAAAATTTCAGTTTCACTTAGTGTATGTTGCTTATTGTCTGTTTTTTTAGTAGTAGAGTATACATGAGATGGTATCTTTTCAACTGATTATTTTTATACTGGTGATGAGAAACAAAAAATATTCAAGTAACGCTGGTGATATAAATAAACGCATTTGGACAAAAACTTGAGTAGTTAGTGATTTATTAATTTTCAAAAGTGATATTATGACTGCACAAAAAGTTATGTGAAGTTAAAAATTTCTCAGATCACACCTGAACTTATATAATTTGATATTTATAAAAAATTTGATCAAATAACTGTTTTTTGACATAGGTTCATACTTATATCATCCTATCTTACTTTTTATTACTAGGCTTCTGTCTATAAAACACTATAAAATTAACATTGTAATGATATAGTAGTGGTTCTTTTATTTGAAACACAAAATTATCTCGTTTTATTAACTGGTGTTCTATTGACAATGAATTTCTACCACTAAAAAATATGTTTGTTACCATATAGTTATTAAAGTATGGGCTGTTTTATGTCACATTTTTTCTTTTTTTAAAACTCACTACAATGTTCATCAAACAACAATTGTATGAAATTTACTACTTACAATAACTCTACTGACTATCCAAGTCATCATGTTTATCTGGCTCTACCGTAATAAT